CTCATCTACAGTTACAAAGACTTATAATGAAAAAGACATTAAAGAAAATAAAATTCAACTTAAAAATTTAAATTTAGATTATAAAAAAACTATTCATAGTGCAATAAATAAACAAAGACTTCAAATTATTCCAATTCATTTCCATAGAGTTATGGCATATACGGTTTTATTATATGCTATTAATTGCTATTTTTTGCATTTTTGCTTATTTTTATATTAAGAAAAAAGGTATTTTACTCAGAAGATCATCGTCAACAATCCAAGGATGTCGAGCAACCGTAGATGTAAAATCATCGAACTTTGGTATCAACCCCATAGTTCTCAAGTGAGGCCGAAGGAGTTATGAACGTCCCATCTCGGTGTAACCTGAGAATTTGCAGGCTCAGCAGTAAAGATAATAAAACAAATGTAAAACATAATAAGATCGTCTTTATGTAATTCACACTTGAACAATAAAGTCCCTGTGTAGAAAATATTTGTTTTTAAAACCCTATTCTTGGAACCGCAAACAAAAGTCGCGACAGAGCAGATAAATTGTATAACGTTTTTATAAAGACAAAACCATTTTATAACAAAAACGCCATATTTATTGACCGATCAATTGTTTATAAATCGCCGCCATTGTGTGAATTTTACCAACAAACGTTAAAACTGTCAATTAAAAATGAATTTTCTTGAAAAAAATTAATGTAATCTTAAGACTAGTCAATTATAAACTGAACAAATAAAACAATAATATTCTTAAAAAACATGAAACTTTGTCAAATAAAAAATTAATTTTTTTTTTTTTTAATAATTTTTAGTAGGTATGTTTGTTAACTGGCGCTTTAATTTTTTGTTAAAAATATATACATATATTGTCAGAAAAGATTGCTCCGCAGGAAGATGTTGTCCTCGATAGCGTAAATCTCAAAGGTTTAATAATTATATTTACATAATAAACAACAAGCACCATTTTGGATCTTAGCCGTTTGACATCCAACATAATTCGCATTATAAAATAGTCTTAGGATAAAAATTTCCCACTCCATTCCTAATTTCTAGAGAAGGAAACAAATTGATGTTCTTATAACGATTCTGTCGCATTATAACATACTTATAAAATGCTTGTTTTAATATTCTATAAATATTCGTAAAGTGCAATTAAGCTGCAGAGTAAAACCGCTATAGTATAATCGTATAGCAGTTCCCCAGTATACTGATACTGAGTTTTATAAGGGTTGTGTAGTGTATTTATATAACTGCTAACGAAGTAAACTGTTTTATAAAACGGGGCCCTTTTTGGTTGAGTAAGTGTTGTATAGTAGTTTTTAAACGCATTATACAATTTTAGCGTTTCTATAATATGTGTTGTATAGCAGTTCTAACAACACTTACATAATCAATTTTGTTAGCTGGGTATCCACGGTATTCGGTACATGATATAACAGCTTTGATAACACCTAGACTGTATCATTTTATGAAAAATGTATTTACTGATAAATGGACAACCATTAAAATTGTTTATTTATTTTAAAATTATATAAATTATATAAAGGGTGTTGCACATTTACGAAATACGGGTGAGGAACGGCAAGAGATATCGATTTGAAATTTTTAAAGCGTTTATAATCCAATCAAGCCTTTTTCTAAAATATTTTAAACAAAATGCCACTTCAGGTTTGATCGGAACTGACATCAACTTTGTTACTTTAAATAGAATACCCCCATATATTTTTACATTTTTAAATTCTACATAAAATTAGTGTCAAAATTTGACAAATGCGCGTAAATCAAAAATAGCCTATAATTTTTTTGCTATTAGGTTTTCGAAAATTTGGTGGAGTTTTTGGAATCTTAAAAAATTGTTTAAAATATTTAACATTTTAACATTTTAACAAATTAAACCCAACAAATAAACCCAGGGCAAATTGGCAACTTAAAACGTTAATAATAACTTTTTTATTTTAAATGAAACACCCTATATGTTTTTACATAATCAAATAGAAAATTAAAACCTATGTAATTATTCCCTATAAACAGTGGCGGCGCCAGCTTTTTCATTCCAGTTGGGGGACACCTGGCAAAAATTTGAATTGTGGGCAGCAAAAATATGTTTTAGGTATCTAGGTAAGGTTTCAGATAATGGGTATAAATTGTATAATGTACCCACTAATTATAGATATTTTACGGATTTGTGAATAAATGTGAAATATAAACTAATTATTACAAAATTTATTTTACACGGAAACGCATGAATAAATAACTATAACAGACACAGTCTAACGTTTAGGTCGATTAGGAAAGCGCTATTTTTCTATTATTATGTTTAATTGCAAAAGAATCTACAACTATATCTAAGTCCATTGCTTTCCATTGCTTTTACAATACTTTTTTTATCGTACAATATTTCTAAATCTGTGAGCCTCTCTTGTAACATTGTAGTCCTTAAATAGTTTTTTATTCTTTTTAAGCCACTAAACGACCTCTTACAACTGGCGCTTGAAGAGGCCACGGTTATGGCAATGTTACACAATTTATTTATTTCGTGAAATACTAAATTGAATTCCTGCAGAAGTACTGCAAGATCTGATAAGGTCCTTATTTTAACATTATGATTAATTTCATACCTGTTAATGGTTTTTGGTAGTGATTTTAGTTCATTTTCGACAGACGCTACGTCACATCTATAGATGTGACGTATATATAATGGATAGCTAAATTCAAAAATATATTACTTGATGGGTTTAACGCACTAAATCCTTTTAGAACACTAGCATTTTCCTCAAATCTCTGACAAAGTTCTGAAGTGATTCGGTCAATTATAGGATAATATAATTTATCTATTTTTTGCTCAAATGTTTAGTTTAGCAGGTTGGGCGAGCGGTTGGGCGGGAACAATTTGGGTTGGGCGCTCGCCCAACCGCGCCCACCCCTGGCGCCGCCACTGCCTATAAATAATAATAATAATAATAATAATAATTAAGAAATGCTTGAATGTAATAGTACAGTCATCTTAGAGCCGTTTCACATGCGACTGATAAAGTCCTGACGATCAGTCCTGATGGTCAGTCCTGATGACTAGGGGCCATTGTTTAAATGAACTTTTTCACATGCACTGCGTATCATCGGTTGACTGATTCGTCGGCACGGGCATCGGGACAGCCCGTGCGCACTGCGTACCGTCAGGACTATTAAGGGCTGTTAGTTATATGGAGTATTTCATATGGTACGTACGGTCAGCAGAAACAGTGTTGCACAATGAGTAGTTTACGCATTGATACTGAAATTGTAATAAGTAGCATCGAACAGCGAAGATGCATCTGGTATGCAGATTATGAGAACTATAAAAAAATGGATGCAAAGAACAAAGCATTTGAAGAAGTAGCAGAAATAGTAGTTCCGGATTTTGAAAATTTTGCGGAAGCAAAAAAGAACTTATAAAATTTTGCGTTGTATTATTCTCTTTATACAAAAAGCGGCAACAGCGCAATTCCGGAGGGGCTGAGAACCGTCTCGTAGTAGACATTTCCGTACTATACGTTGCTTGTGAAACAATGGCCATGACCGTCAGTCCGTATCATCAGGACTGATCCTCAGGACTTTATCAGTCGCATGTGAAACGGCTCTAAGAGCCGAGTCAAAAAAAGGGACCAACCTCGGAATCTAACGAAATAATCTGAATTTTTGTGAAAACCTTTATTTTAGCATTACAAATGTTGTCTCAAAAGTCACATATGCCAACGTGTGAGCGGCCTTAGATATTCAAGTTCAAAGGTCGCAAAAATCAATTTTTTGAGAATATCTCCTTTTCTCTGCCTCCTATAGTATTTGCATTTATTATACAAGTTGTAGAGAATAAAATTCTCTACAAATTTTGTTTACAAAATTTTTTTATACGTCGAACCGTTTTTGAGATAGAGGGCGCAGAGTGTGGAGCGCTCAGCCATACGTACCTTTAGCGCAATGTAAATCGTGAATCCCAATCTATTATACCGTTTTTAATTAATTATATAATAAATATTACTAAAATAAAAATTATATACCTTATATTTACTTATATTTATATTTATATGTCTTTTAAATCAAATATATTTTATCTTCATATTATCTTATATCTATTTTAATTTAATTTTAATGAAGGATAATTGTATCGGAGTAGGAAAAAATGTTTTTATTTATATCAATATTATTATTATTATTAATCTTTATCTTCTTCATCCTCGTCTTCTTCAGGTTGGCCAGCAATTTCAGACTCATTCTCATCATCACTCTCCTCGTTATCATTAACATTAATTATCATATCTTCAAAAACTTACTTATAACGCGTTTGTACTTTGCAGATTTTTTTGCCTTTGTTGCCTCATCTGCGACTTCACCACAAAATAAGCAGAATATTTTAAAATCAAACACATCATTCCCTTTTTTACGAGGGGTACAGTTGATGACGTTGAAGGTCCAGTCTCTTCAAGGCGACGTTTTGCTGCTGCAATTTTACTATAGTACGCTATAGCGTACAATTTTCGACACTCAATATGAAGTATTTAGGTAGTTTATGTTTATTTCTCTCAATAATTGCTTCTTTTAAAGTCTTTATACCGCGCACAGAAGTCACAGAATCACCTTCAGAAAGTAACTTATTACAAATAAAATACAAATCAGCCCTGTTAACCTTTAAAATATTACGAATATTACCTGTCACAACCCTAGACCTATACCTAGGGTCACAACTTGCTTTAAATATAGGTATACCTAACCTTTTTATTAATAGCAAGCCCACTATAGTATTTCCAGGTCTGTAATTTTAAAAGCAATATCTGGATCCAAGAGATGACCAGAGACATATCCAAGGCAAATTCATTTAATGTCTTTTCTTCTTAAAATGCATTTATCATTTATTAGAATAACATAAGAATATATTTAGAATGATTAACTTTATTATTTAATTATTTGTATGTCAAAAGTAAGTAATATTTATTGACTATTAGTGGTCGGAAAACATGTTTTTATTTTTTACTTACTTTTTTCTAACTTGGTCATGCTGATCTCTTCTTTGATACAACAACCACATCCGAAGGTGTAGTAATATATGAACCGGCCCCATTTCCTATACCAAACTGTTTTAATCGGTCTCGCTTGTTTTCCTGCTGAACTAGCTTCATTGCCTTTTGAATTGCTTACTTCCAACTCAATTTCTGAGTTATTTTTTGTGCAGTCAGCCATATTGTATTATTTTTAATTAAACATCTGAAAAAAAAAATATGTCAATTAAATCCGATATTGTTTTTAAAAATATAACTACATTTTCAGTTGAATTTTGCATAAATTGAATGCACGTTTCGGCGAAATTTATTTGCCTCTGGTAATGACTTTTTAGCATGTTAATTAAAGGATGAATTTCAAATTAAATTTTTTAGCCGCATTTATTGTGTTTTATGTAACAATTTACCAAATTTGGTAGGATTTAAAATAATCACAGTACTGTGATACTGTGGTACTTACCTTTTACTAAATATTCCATACATGTTAGGTCGAATGCTAGTCAATAAAATTTATAATATGTTATTTATTTACTTATTTATTCAAACAATTATTTAAAATTTGTGAAGTTTTAAATTTTTTTAAAATAAATATGAAACAATAAATAAATGCTTTTTACCTTACACTGCTTTTAAAGAACATTAAATTTACGTTGAATAAGTCATAAATAAAGATTTAAAAATGTATTAGTAAAAGTGCTAAAACAGGTACCTAGTCAATGTCGACCAATAAAATATTCCCCCCGCTATAAAACACACATTAATATTTCAAATCACAAAATACTACAAATAATTCCTGATTAAAATTCAGCATTTATGTCATTTACAAATATTAAATATTTAAAATGGTTAACATATGTATTATCTGACCCCATATGTCAATAAATCCAAATTTTAAATTATGATTTGTTGTTATTCATTTTTTTTTAAGTTAATAACTTAAAAAACTATTTATTAAAACCCTGGATACATGGTGCACCAATTATTTAAAAATTGAAAAAAGCGGTTTTCAAATAATTTGAAAAAACTGAAAAAATGTGAAACCGTTTTAAGTTCGTTATTTCTGGAAATTAAAAAAATAAGTTTAACGTATAAACATACAGATTTATTTGCATTTTATCCGACTTTTGATTTATTTGCCTACCACCATCTTTTGTTTTTCCCATGGCGACCATATTGGAAGTTTACATTGTTGGATAAAAAACAAGGAATCCAACGATGTATGAAACTACATAATTAAGGGGGCTATTATAAAAACAAAAGATGATAATGGTAACTCAAAATATAGTAGCGAAGAAATTTCACGAAAATGTAGATTAATGTTAAATTTTTTTTCGGGCAGAAGGACCTAGGTCTATAGCCCAATAAAGACTTTTTTTTGTTAATTTTTTTTTAAATTTAGGTACAGAAATAACGAAGTTATAACGATTTTGGTTTTGAATGGTTTTTAGTTTTTTTCAAATATTTTAAGAACCGCTGGCCCTTTTTAATTTTAAATTTTATTTAAATTGTCTAATTACGCAACTTATTTCTAAGTTAACCGACCATGTAGCTCTTCAATTAAAAAAAAATACTTTAAGTCTTATTGAAGATATGTACTTTACAGTAAGAGCAATACATTGCCTCATGTCATTCACAATACATTTGCCTGGAATATTTTTTATTTTGCATTACGATAAAAAAACGTATTTTTTGTTTAAAATTATATGGATTATTTTTTAACGTTTCTAAAAACCAATAAAAAATTTTAAATTCAGTCATATATATGTTTTAATCAATTAAAACATTATTATAGTGGGAATTACCTACTGTACATTATTTAGTATTACACAACTCAAAGAGCTTCTCCAAAAATTTCGCCGCTGCTTTATAATCGTTCTTGCTTTTATAAACTACAGAATTATTAGGCAAGAAAGAATCACTTTAAGCCCATTAGTATAACTCTGATCGCTCTGCAACTTGGCATTAACAATCTACAGCTCACGAGAAAGGCCCTTGTGGCCCTATTGAAGCTTTGAAAAGACAAGCAGGTAAAGCTAGTCTTCAAAGCAATCAAATATCAAATAAGTACAGCATTTGGGTCCACAAAGTCAAAATCAAAATAACATTGAAAAGGTATGAAGTTAATATTTTGAATGAATGTAGGCTATACCTACTAGGTATATACCACAAATAGATATTTTGTATGGATTATACAAGTGTATTAAATATAATTTATCACCCCACAACTGTTTTTTTTTAAATTCAACCCATTCGAATTTTCGAATTTTAATCCCACAAGATTAATCATGCCTCTGTAAAAGCTTTCATTTGAAGAGCGCGATCATTAACAGTCAGTGGCGGCTCGTCAGGGATGGCAAGGCAGGCTCCTCAAAAAAAAAATAACTTACTTCAATTATTTTAAATGTGTATTATATTTCAAATGAATAGCTATTTAGTAATTAAATAGTAAAATTTCCAATCATAATTATTATTACAATAATGCTTTCTTAATAAATACAAATACTGAAATATTTACATTGAACCAAGTCACAGAGGAGTCTACACATTGGAGGATTCCGTTGCTATTCAAAATTTATTCATTAAGGTTCTTACGAGCGCGGCCGACCGAACACGTTATACGGTGGAGGCTAGCCGTTAGCGCTAGACTGTGCCGCAGTTTACGATGGAGTGATCAAGAGCGGTCACCGTCTGAGCGCTGCATTTTAAAATTTCGAACAGGCAGCCAGAGAAGAGTTTAATATTGTTATTTCGTTTACAAAATAAAAATTAAAGAAGAAAAACTTATAAAGATATCATAATAATAAATATATTAATAATAATTATATATAATTATTATTAATATATAGGACCTCTACTTTTTATAGTGTATATCAACGATCTACTAAATCAACATACGGAAATGGTAGCATATGCAGATGATATTGCGGTCCCAATGACAGGTCAGAATTGGATCCAAATACAAAATGGTCTAAACACCAAACTTAACCAAGTATATAACTGGCTATATAATAATAAATTAGTCTTAAATTTTAAAAAAACAGTATATATGACTTTTGCCAATTATATGGATTCTATACCAACCAATATGCAGATATTCATAAATGGAAGTAAGATCGAACATGTTAGTACCTGCAAATACCTTGGCCTAATGTATGATCAACATTTGAGATGGAAGACTCATACAAATTATATTACAAATAAGCTAAAGTATCTAGTTGTTGTATTTTATAAACTAAAGAAAATATTATCTATCAAACAGCTGCTCCAACTATATTATGGACTTTTCAACAGCATATCAACATATGGTATCATAGGATGGGGAGGAGTTTATGAAAACGCATACAAACAACTTGATACTTTACAAAAAAAATTACTCAAAATAATTGGTATAAAACAAGATGACATAATCAGGCCATTAGACATAAAACAAACTTTTGTTGTAAAGGCTATATTGAGGCAATATGAAATATTAAAAAGCAAATACGATGAACAAAGCACAAACACAAGAAACAAGAGTCTGCAACTACCAAAACACATATTATCAATAGTGCAAAGAGGCTATGAATACTATGCTATATATTATTACAACCAATTACCGAACAACATAAAAAATCTAAATGAAAGCAAGAAGTCCATAAAAAAGAAAATTAAGATGGTGATAAAAAACTTAAATGTAAAGTAAAAATATGTTTTAATTAAGTTAGGGTTAATAATTTGTACAGCAAAAATATTTTATTTTTTTAATTAAGTTAGGGTTTAATAATTTGTCTAACCAAATAATTAGGTACATTAATTATAATTATGTTAAATTAAGACATATTAAATTTAGTTTTAGGGGACCAACCTATGTACGGGCATTTGCAATGCCCCCTATAGGTCCTTGCAATGTAAGGAATTTGGTGATAATAAATAAATAATAAATAAATATTTATTATTATGATATCTTTATAAGTATACTTAAACATTCAATTTTCTTAGTTTCTTTACGAAACTTTCTTGACCAATTACTGGTAATATTCATAAAAATAATTAAACCCACACTGTACAGCTGTCTGTCGGTATTTGAAGTTGGTGGAACGCACTCAAAACAAAAAACTTTGGCGAGGTGTGAGTTAAATTTTTTTTTTCTTATGAATATTATACTTAATTTAAAGTGGCATTAAAGAGCTTAAAAGCATTAAATAAAAACGTTTTATTTAATGATAAAACTGTCGTAGTGCATTTATGAGTATTACTGTCTTGATTTATTTGTTATCATTATAATAACCTAGCTTTGAAAATAACAGCTTTTAGAGACATATCGGCTGTTCCACTCCAAAACGTGTTTTTTATATTTTTTTTACTTCCACCTTTAAAACGTCCATTATCGTACATGTTTCCATGACAATAAGTGACCTTTTAAATACACATTGACACGTTGTGGCTTTATGGCGTTTTAGTCACGGGCTAAAGTTGCAACAGATAAAAACCTGGCTGAATTTAGTTTTAAGTTAGTTGACAGTTGTTAAATGCCATACAATCGTTAAAATAAAGTGCCGCTCTTGTAAAATAATACTAAATGTAAAAATTATTTTTTTATGTTAATAAAAAAATAAGAAAGTATGAAATAGTTTTCTTAACGCCAATATTTAAAAAGTTTATATAAACATTGTACTAACTTTTTAATTTCGCTGGCAGTAAAATACACGTCCACTGTGAAAAACTGTTGTTAGTTCATTTTCAAGGGATACATTTCGACTTACACACGAATTTCTTATTTTTACCGGCGTGCCGGTATTACAGATCATCAAATGGTTAGTGTATTGTTTTATAGATGTCGCTATATACAATAATTTAATTTAAATCATCTTTGCATAATAGTAAGTGCTTATTCGTCGTAGAAAAAGTCTAGTATGGGACTTGTTTATAAACTTTTCCAGACACCCATTTAATTAAATACTCGCTGGAAAACTCGCTAGTGGATAATTAAAATTCGTGACTAAAATGGCGTTTATCAGACTTAAAACATAATATACTAGTATACACTGTTTAAAATATCTGTGGTGTAAAGAGTAATCTTAAAATGGTGTCAAAATCCAACACCAAGTGGTGTTAATATAACACCATGAATTATGGTTGAAAATGAACACCAAAACGGTGTTTATCTAAAAATATTTGAGAAGTGCACCTACACAGAAAAAA